AAAGATTTGATCACAACTTTCGTCCTGCTGGTGGTGGTTCGGCTTCCTGAAGACAAATATCACTTCCGTTCGGGAACGAAAGTACCTGGTATCGGCACATTTGCAGACAAGTTTTCAACTAACACAGTTTTGGCTCCGGCACTAAGGGGGGCTTGTAGTTTGTTGCTGAGGGAGTATTCGTATTCAGAGGCCCAAGCCTCCCGGCAGATCTATGCACGGAGAGTAACTCCAAACAAAATATAGCCGGAATGTTGAACAGTGGGCGCTGTTCGGCGACGGAGGGGGGGGGGGCATTTTGCACTTTCGCTACTTCTCATCGACGTGTCGACCCATCTAGACAGCCTCTTCTCGGGTTGACAGGTTTTACCATGACGGGGCTCCAGCTTCACAAGAGTTCACAGGTTTCACCAGAGTGAGACTTGTAAACCGGAACTAGTGAAGCAACCAAAGTGCAAAATGTCTCACTCGCCGAACTGCGCCCAGTTGGGCAGTAGAGGGTTAATAGTGCCAAATTTTCATTTTGCTGACTAACGCATGGTCATCCGTGTGACAAAAGCGCACCGCAGACGGCCTACAGTCAGGCGCTTCATCCTGATATGAATTGCTTTAGCTGCTTGATAACGCCTTGACTTCAAAACACAACCATGAAATTTTCAATTCAGGAACTGATTAACGCTGGACTGACAACAATTGACGTCCGCAAACCAGACGTACAGTTTGACCATGTGGTGACGGTTGTCGAACCAGAGGTTGGTAATGAGTTGACCCAGCTACTGGGTAGAACTCAAATCAAATCCATTCAGGTGGTCCAGCTTGGTCTTCGTCTATCATCGCCAAGTGTGCCTTCGATGAAGTTCATCGACTTGGAGACGATACTACAACGGCCGGCACATCGTCGTCAGCCAACACACTTATCACGTCACCTCAACGAGGATCGGCCAATGCCGAGCACCGGATTGTCGTCCTCGAGGGAGTATCTCAGAAATTCCACAATGCTATGACGTTAAGCCTGAAAAAGGTTAGTCACACGCTTTTTATGGTGAGGTAAGTAAACGCAGAGTTCCTTTTAGTCCACATGCATTCATGGGTTCCTTGCCCTTCTCAAAACCCTTGCACATACCCATACCTACGAGCGAAACAGTAACCCTACCAGATTTGGCTACTGTAAGGCAGCAAAACTCCCGTGTAACCAATATTTTCAGTAGTTGAGTTTAGGACTTGTCTGGTGCTCCAGCTCCCCTCTAAGGCAATTTTTTCTAGAAAAACTGAAGGATTTTTGGAAAAAAAAAACGTAAAAAGGTAGTTCGGGAGATTCAGAAAGGTAGGTAGGATGGGTAATGGGAAGAGAAGAAAAACTGTTTCATAGGAGGAACATGTGACGTATTTCACAAGATTTATTTAAGGCAAGACGTGTCCTGGCTGTGGACTATGTGCGGCTGCAGACATACCCCTTTGCGTACGCCGTAAAGAATCTGCCTATCAGTTGGTCGCGAAATAGAAGGCGGACAAGACAATCGTTATTCGCCGCGTAGTCACGCGCGATGCATCGTGCGGCGATGCGCAGCAAGCCCTCGGTGTGCAAATGGGGCCGCGAAACTCGTATGAATTCAGACAGAGAAATATACTATGACGGGCATATCACAATTTCCCATCCCTTCAGCACTCGGCGTCAGACGGTCGGGAAGGACAATTCGACACGGCGCCACTCGTCGTGTCCACCAATGCGGTCCATTACGATTGCCTTGTCACATACCCCGCGGGATGTGCTAATTGTGCGAGCACCTGCACCCCGTCGAACTGCAGTGGAATTCGGCTGCTCTTCTTAAAGTGCAACAGCTTAGTGAAGCCAATGAAAGACAGGATGTCTGCGTGTTGGGTGCTCGTCAGGGAACATCAGGGAGGGGGGAGAGGGTGGTAGTTCATGGCATCCGAGACGCGATAGGATGTGCTGACCTACTTCCAGACGTCAGCGGCAGCGTCCAAATCACAAACGGAATTACTGATATAGCCGATCATAGTATCGAGGCAACGAGCAGTTCGGTGAAAGGGGGGAGGGGGGCGGGGTTTGCACTTTCAATGCATCACTGGCTTCGATTTACAAGCCTCACTCTGGTGAACCTAGTGAACGAAACCTGTGAACTCTTGTCAAGAAGCAGGAGCAAGCTCGTCGAGCTACCATGGTATAACCTGTCAGCTCAGGAACAGGGCTCTCTGAATGGGTCGACACGTCGATGGGAAGTAGCAAATGTGCCGAACCCCCCCTTTCCACCCTCCCCCGTCGTCGAACTCCCCCCGCCAACGTTCAATTACCGTAGATGTTTTGAGCATTCGCATTCCGAACGAGCCAGTGATCTGGCGCTGCTCATCCTGAGGTTGCCCCCCCCCTTCACATTTCTTTTGTTATTACACTCTATATTTCTCCCCAATTACAGGTCCAAAAGCTCGCCACTGAATCCGCTGAACCGTCGACGTTTGTCCAAATCGAGATCATCAAGCCGAATGAAAGCAGCGAAGAAGTGCTGACCATCGTCGATGCAGAGAAGCTCATCCCTGACCTGCTGAGAGTAGCCGCTGCGGCCAGCAAGTTGAAGGTTTGGTGGAATTTCAGTAAGATATTTCCTCCTTCACACTTTTTATTGTAGATGGAGAATGTTACTGTAAGTCTGGTGAAGCAGGGCGATACAGCTCACCAGGAGCTTGTCATCGAGTATGAAAGCCATATTGAAGATGCTGTCGATTTCAACTTATCACATTTTGTCTACGAAGGCCACAAAAGCGAGGTTTGCCCCTCCCCCCATACTTTCTTTGCCCCTCCCCTCCATACTTTCGTTTCAGTAGCGCTGTGCCTAGCCAAAGTCGCGGATTTCCAGGTGAGCACCCGACAAGAGAGGTGGTCTCGACGATCTCGATATTCTGACGTGGACGACAAGGTGGTGGCAGTTTTCATGGAGGTGGATGCAACTTGTCCCGACCAGGTACTCTCAACATAGTTTGAGAAAGTTGGACATCTGATATTAAGGGTATTTCACAGAGTGTGGAAATTGTGGCATCGGTTAGTATGCCTGCAGAGGTCAAAGTGGATCGACCGCCTGCAACACCTTCGCCAGAAATGATGGAGGTATCCGAGTCGTTAACGGAGTCGTCGAACGCGGTAGGACAGCAGATTCCAAGGTGTGTGAATTGAGTTTTAAAGAATCCACTTCAAGTTATTCCAATGTGCTTTAGCGCTGCATACCCCCCCACCCCCAAACCCCTCAGGTGGTAGCTCTTTGGGGGAAAACCGAAAATTTTGACAAGAGCTCTCCGTAAAAGTGGTCAGAAGTTGGGATAGTCTAGGGCGGCAAGATGGTACATAGGTTGATGAAAGGGTTGTACAAAGAAGGAAATCTCGAGGGGGTCGTATTTCGCGCAATTTTTCCCCAAGGGCACGACGTGTCCTGGTCACAACTGTGAACCTTGAAATTCGAAAAGTTATTGCGATATTCATAGGCATTCCAA